GGCAGGAGACTCGCTTGAGCCCAGGAGTTGGAGGTTGCTGTGAGCTGTGATGCCACAGCACTCTACCCAGGGTGACAGCTTGAGGCTCTGCCTCAAACAAAAAAACGAAAGAAAATGAAACAGCAAATGTTAAATTTTAGTAACCAATGAATGTGGGAAAGGGTTTATGGGGTTCTTTGCACTATTTTTGCAATCTTTCCATAAGTCTGAAATTATATCCAAACAGAAAGTATCAGGAAAAATACACTTGGGAAACCCTGCCACTAATTCTCCCTCTTGGAGATATACACTGCCCACTGACATGTTAAAGGTTATGACAAGTCCTGCATAAGGAAACCTGTTCAGTTTTTAGTTAGGAGAAGATTCTCTTTGCCAGAATGTATATTAATTTTCTATACGTCTTTATCTAAACCCATCTATCTCCAGTGTGAGATGAATAGAACATCAGTGGACTCTGCAGTATTTAATCTGCCCTGTGGTTCCATAGAAAGTGCCTGCCTGAGACATCCACCACCCACCGATGGCATTCCCCAGGCCCTCACCCTCTCGGAGCACCCCCTTCTGCTTCAGCTTGCCGGCCAGGGTCAGGAGCACCCCCTGCTTGCCGGCCAGGGTCAGGAGCACCCCAGCTTGCCGGCCAGGGTCAGGAGGTGGGGCGCTGCTGCTCCAGGGTCAGGAGGTGTGCTGGGCATGGCTCTGCAGTGTCAGGACCCAGCCTCCCCGCAGGTCCTCGGATGCCTTGAGGAGAAGCTGCACTGTGTTCTGGTCCAGCAGCGCCTTGTAAAACAGCCAAATCCTAGGACAGAAACGTAGAGTGTTTCTCCCACCTCCAGTAAGTGGGAGGTTCCTGAACCCCACCTGTCAAGACAGGATTGCTTTGGGATAAAGGGAGCTAAGGTCAAGGACTTTGTATGGGCAACCCTGGGTCAGATCCCAGTGCTACCGCTCACTGCCTCTATGATCTCAGACAAGGACACGACCTCTCCGAGCATCCGCTTCTTCTTCTGTAAAGTAGGGATCAAGTGGAAATGCTGACACTGAGCTGATGTTGATGCCGATACTGACGCGTACCGAGCCACGTGTGCTGGACTGGGTCTCCACCATGGCTGTCCCCACACTCACTCTCATTTGTAATGTCACTTTGCCACTTCTCTGTTAAGATATGGGGCCTATGTCTGATTCAGGGCTGGCCTCGTGACCCGTATTTTGATCAACAGAATGTGGCAGAAGGGATGCTGTATAACCTGGGTTGATGGCAGCCAAGAGACCCAGAGAACCACCCCGGCAAAGCCACACAGAGTAGAACTGACCGAGTCCTATCCCAATTCCTAACCCACAGACTCATGAGCAAGCAAAATGGTTGTTACTTTAACCCCTGGTACTTGGGGGAGCTTTTATGCAGCATTGCTAACTAATACCCTGTTCCACGCACTGTGCACTTAGATGCACTGTCTGACTCCCTGAAAAAGCCCTGTGAAGGTTTGAGAATATTATGATCCCCGTTATCCAGATGAGGAAACGGAGGTACAGAAAGTAGGCAATGTGCCCAAAGCTCATATGAGCAGTTACTAGTACCCAGCACACAGTGAACTCTGGAATATAAAGTGCTTGCTCCCAGCCCATAATGAGTGATCACTATGCACTACTATGGTGAGGGACAAGGAAAAACCCACCCTGAGAAGCCTGTTAACCCTGCTGAAGAACTGGGGCAGGGAGGTGTGGTTCCGCTCATCACAAATGTCAATCATGTGTGTTTGTGCCACACCATGGAGACACTTCCCTTGAGCTTGAGACCAGGTACAAGGTCATCCTTTCCTTGGCATCCATGCACATGCACGCACACACAGGTATATACGATGTCTGACAATTAGGATCCAGAACTATTCTAGAAAAGGTGCTGTAAACCCCTTTGCCGAATGTCACTGCAGTCACCCTCAAGGTACTACTCCCCTCAAGAAGCTGTGCACTGATGCCAGCGCCTGGTCCATCCTTCACAGCTGTTTTAGAACTCTTTTTCTGGAATGACCATCGGAGCTATCATCATACAGTACACAGAAATACACAACAACAATGATGAACACCACTTAGCAAGACACCACCACAGGTCAACAGGAAGATGGCCGTGAGACACTGATGTACCAAGGTTATGAAACCTTGACTTGTTTGTACAGTGGGGCCAATGTAAGCCCACAGTGCAAATTCAAAAACTTAATTGATGGCCAACAAAAGAGTTCCAAAATTGCTTTGAAGGTAGGCACTGGCTTCAGGGTACAGCTTTCCCGAGGGGAGTTCTTCAAAGGTGACTGCAGTGATAGTCAGCAGTGAGGGATGCAGCCCTTTTTCCAGGATGAGTTTGCCAACTTAATTGTCCAACATGGTATGAGAGAGAGAGTTTCCTTATGGCCACTGCTAATAATACCACTCATTCATTTTTACAGTGGCTGCTAGGATGCTCAGATTTGGAAAACCCAGAGGACCTGTGTTTCCTGATGCCACTCTGAGCACCTTCCCGTTTTTCCTATTTCCCCTTTCCCCTAGTTTCCTCAAGTATTTTTCTTTAATCTAGAGCAAGGGTCCTCAAACTTTTTAAACAGGGGGCCAGTTCACTGTCCCTCAGACCATTGGAGGGCTGGACTGAGGACCCTGGAATGAGTCGGTTGCTAAGCAGGACAGGCAGTGGCGGCAAAAACACCTGGCGGGCCGGATAAATGTCCTAGGCAGGCTGCATGTGGCCCATGGGCCATAGTTTAAGAACACCTGATCTAGAACAAGGGTTGGCAAACTACAGCTTATAGGCCCAAACCAGCCCAGCTCTTTTTATAAATAAAGCTTTACTGGAACACAGTCATGCCCACTCATTTATGAATTGTCTACAATGCTTTTGTGCTACAGTGGCAGAGATGAGTGGTTGTGACAGAGACCATATGGCCCACAAAGCTGAAAATATTTACCATCTGGCTCTTTACTGAAAGTTTGCCAACTCCCGACCTAGAGCAATGCACCTCCTTATGATCCCCAAATCCTTTTTCGGTTGGGGATAAGGATGGCCAATTGGACAGATGGATGGTAATTCTGGGAACAAGGTTACCTAGGACCACGTCCACAGCCCTGGGTCTCCTTAAAATCCTGCCAAGGCTGGGAAGAATGCTGGAATTGCAGAAGATTTATTTAATGGAGATCCAATTTGTACCAGAAGTTCAGTACTCAGAGTAACAACATGATTTTATGATAAGAAATCGTAATAACAGCCTCCAATTCCTGACAGAGCTCCTAATCCCTTGGAATTTCCTGGGTGGCAGGAGTGTCTTTTGTTCTAATGAGGCAACTTTGGTGGGTTTCTAGATAAGGGCTGGTCACCAGAAAGACCAAGCCAGGATTAGAAGCTTGGAACTTCCAGCCCCACCACCCCCATCCCAGAAGGGGAGAGGGGCTAGAGGTGGAGTTAATAAGTGATGACGTCTAAGTGATGAAGCTGCCAAAGAAATCCCCGAACGCTGCAGTTCCGAGAGCTTCTGGTTGCTGAGGGACTGAGCCCTTCACCTGTGGAGTGTGACGCTAACTCCAGGTAACTTGTGGCAGAACTGAGTTACATTGCAGAGCACCCAGCTGGCATCCACGGAGAATGGCGTGGTGGGAAAATACCCCTGCATCTGGGCACAGAAGGGTTCAGTAGAAAAATCTGTTGTTTGAAAGGACAGTAGAAAAATTTGAGTTTCCCATCACATGAGCAGCAGTAATGGTGCCAGCTACTGAACACACTTGCTGGCCCCGCTCGGGAGCTCAGGTGCAGCGCTCAGTTAATCCCTAGACCAACCCTAAGAAGGTGGTGGAGACTGAGGCACGGAAGGGCCAAGTGGACAGACAGCAGCAGCAGAGCTGGGATGGGAGCTGGAGTGGACGCAGTAAGGTGTGAATACACAGAGATGAGACGAGGGACACACCCTGTGGGCTCTGGTGGGGTTTGTTTTATTCTACATACGTGATTATAACCCTTCAAGTCATCTGTGGTGAATGCTCTCATAATCAAAAAAAAAAAAAAAGAAAGGAAGATAGAAACAAAAGAAAAAAGAAAGGAAGAAAAGATAAAAGTAGAAAACTGAACGCCACCCCCTTTCCTGCCCTCAATGCCACGAAAGCAAGAATGGTGTCAATGGGTGTCACCTAGGCACAGTCTCAGAGGGACGGAAATGGGGCCTCAGGGTGATGAGCTCCCATCTCCAGGCCACCAGCCCTTGGTCCTCAGTGCCGTCTGCCCCCTTCACAGGCCACCTGGGGGCCATTACCTTGCTGGGGTGATCTTGCCCAACAGCTGCAGCTGGACAGCCTGGGAGGCTCTGAGCACTGCCTGGTGGAGGAGGACACTCACGTCCCAGGCCCTGTTGCTCCTCCGGGCATCCTGGCTGGTGTTGACCTCCAGCAGAACCAGCTCCTGGCCGGACGTGTGCACAGACAGGGACCCATTGAGGCTGCGTGCTCTGGAGCACCCAGCAGCCACCTGCACCTACGGCAAAGCAGGGGAGGGCTCAGAGGCAGAACAGGAACAGCCTCCTCCTCTAGGAAGCCTTCCTGACCCTCTCCATCTCTAAGCACCCACCCAGCACAGTGGGCAGCACGTGCTCTGGAAGGGACATCAGACAGAGAGAGAAAGGGGGGACAGCCCATCCTGGTCCTGCTGTTGGCTCAGGAACAGTCTCGTCCTGTTCTTTCCACCATGTGTGGAGTGAGAGTTCCCATCCCAAATGGGGAAACCGAGGCTCAGAGAACGTCACATATGTCCCTAGGCCTGCTGGGCTCATTAATAGAAAAGGGTGCCCAAATCATGTCTCCAGGAATTGGAGGACCAGAGCTTCCAGCATTCAAAGAAGATGGTGTTCGGTACACAAAGAACAGCCACAGCTGGGTCAGTGGGGGTACAGGCAGAGCGGGGGGGGGGCAGGGAGGATAGAGGCTTCACCAGCTCCCTGAGAGCTGAGCCCCATCCCCTTGCCTGACCTGGGTCTCAGTTTCCCTACCAGTTTCTCCATCTGCAAAGCTGGTTAGCCCCATGGTTCTAACCCAGACTGCATTACCATCACGTGGAAAGATTTTAAAAGCATATCTGGGAATCACCCCAGGGCCCATCAGCTCATGAATGGATTAATAAACTGTGGTATATGTATACCTTGGAATACTACTCAGACATTCAGAGGGAGACCTTACATCTTCTGTATTTACCTGGATGGAGTTGGAGAAAAGTCTACTTAATAAAGTATCACAAGAATGGAACAGCAGGCTCAGTGCCTGTAGCTCGGTGGCTAGGGCACCGGCCATATACACCAGAGCTGGAGGGTTCGAACCTGGCCCGGGGGCTGCCAAACAACAGTGACAACTGCAAAAGAAAAATAGCTGGGCGTTGTGGCAGGCACCTGTAGTCCCAGCTACTTGGGAAGCGGAGACAAGAGAATCACTTGAGCCCAAGCATTTGAGATTGTTGTGAGCTGCGAGTCCACAGCACTCTACTGAGGGCAACATAGTGAGACTCTGCCTCAAAAAAGAAAAAGAAAAATGGAAAAGTATCCAATGTACACAATAGTAATATGAAACCAAAAGATAAAACAACTGCACTCCCACATGAGAGAAAAACACAATTAAATTCAAAGCAGGGAGGAGGGAAAGGGAAGGCAATTGGTCGACTCCCACTAACAGGCACAAGGTAAGTGCACAGCACACCCCCTGGACGAAGGGCTCACCTACAACTTGAACTTGACCTAACAAACACAAACAATGTAACCTAATCATTTGTGCCCTCCTACTAACCTGAAATTTTAAAAGCATGCCTAGTTCCTCCACAGATGGATTGGTAAACTATGCCACATTCAATGGAATATTATTCAGCACCAAAAAGAAATGTGCTATTCAGTCAGGAAAAGACACCAAGAAAACATAAATGCATAGAACTAAGTGGAAGAAGCCCATCTGAAAAGGCCACTTACTATACAGGCTCCAACTCTATGATGTTCTGGAAAGGACAAAACTGCAGATGCAATTGGAAGACCTGTGGTTGCCAGGGGACGGGGAGGGGCGACCAGGGGGCACTGCTCCGTATGACACTCTAATGGTGGATTCCTGACATTATACGTTTGTCCAAACCCACAGAATGTACAACACCAAGAGGGAGCCCTAATGTAAACTGTAGATCTTGGTGGCTGATACGTGTTAATGCTGGTTCACCAGCTGTAGTAAATGTACCCCGTAAACATGAGACGCTGAGCTTAGGTCAGGAGATACTGCCAGGCAAGGGAGATCCATGGGAACTCTCTGTACTTTCTTCTTAGATTTTCTGTGAACCTAAAACCGTTCTCAAAAGATGAAGTCTATTAATTTTTTTTTTTTTTTTGAGACAGAGCCTCAAGCTATCCCTCCTGGGTAGAGTGCTATGGCATCACAGCTCACAGCAACCTCCAACTCCTGGGCTCAAGCGAGTCTCCTGCCTCAGCCTCCCAAGTAGCTGGGACCACAGGCGCCCGCCACAGCGCCCGGCTATTTTTGGTTGCAGCCGTCATTGTTGTTTGGTGGGCCAGGACTGGATTTGAACTTGCCACCTTAAGTGTATGTGGCTGGCACCTTAGCCACTTGAGCCACAGGCACCGAGCCTAATTTTTTTTAAGTATGTCTGGGGACGCCCCACCTTCCCCACTGCCCTTTGACCAGTCAACTCTGCATCCCTGGGCTGGAACTGGGGTGTGCTCTAAAACCTCTTCAGGAGACCCTAGACAACTCCCAGGCTATCCAGGGGCCTCTGTGTGCCCTGGGATCCCAAAGAGCTTGTATTCTCAATAGGGGTGACAATGGCAAAACTTGGGTCTTAGAGGGTGGGCAAAAACTCTTACCCTATAAAGCAGAGACCTGCACAGTATGTAGACAGAAATATGGCCTACCTAGGGAGCTGAAATTTCTTGGGGGAAGGTGATTAGGTAAAAAAATGTCTAAAAAGGTTTCTTGGCTGGGTGCAGTGGCTCACACCTGTAATCCCAGCACTCTGGGAGGCCGGTGGGCGGATTGCCTGAGCTTATGAGTTCAAGACCAGCTTGAGCTAGAGCAAGACCTCATCTCTAAAAAAATAGGTTGGGTATTATGGTAGGCACCTATAGTTTCAGCTACTTGGGAGACTGAGGCAAGAGAATCACGTAAGCCCAAGAGTTTGAGGTTGCTGTGAGCTGTAACGCCACAGTACTCTACTGAGGGCAACAAAGTGAGACTCTGACTCTAAATAAATAAATAAATTTCTTAAGGGTGATAATGAAAATAAAGATGAAGGACACAGGTGTAGAAAGGTCCCTTGGGGTAGGCGATGCAGGAGTGCAGAGAGGTTGAGAAGGGAACTGCCTACCAGGCCTCAACTCAAGCACAGGAGTACCGTAAATAAAGGGTTCCACTGCTTTGAAAAATAAAAAAGCTTGAATCTGGTAAATGAGCTAGTGTCCAAGCTTCTGGGGGACCCACTCTCTACTCTCCAATGAGTTCAAGGGACAGCATGAGCTCTGGAGCCAGAACACCTGGGTCCCCAGATAAGACCCTCCACTCATGAGCTCAGTAACTTGGACAAACCACGTCACTGTGTGTCTCAGATCGTCATCCACAGAATGGGCCCAGCAGTGGCCGCCTCACAGCAGCATAGTGAAGTGTCCAGGAAATGATCCACAGGAAGGGTTGGGACAGAGTCACATCTCCTATCACAGCTGGTAAACATAACAGCACCTTCTCCATCCCAAGATGCCAGCAGCTTTCACGTGCATGCAGTTTCACTGACTGCCACAAAGTGAGAAGGCCGCAGTGGAGAGAGGGTGTGAAGTGCCTGCTCACTCCAGAGACGTCACCTCAAGGACGCCTGCCTCTGAGGATTACCCGTTCCCTCCACTCACAGCCATTGTCAGGCTCCATTCAGGTTTCTTCTTTCTTTTTTTCTTTTCTTTCATTTTACTTTTCTTTCTTTTTTGGTGGGGGGTTGCTCAAAGTCTTGCTCTGTTGCTTGGGCTAAAGTGCCATAGCATCATCATAGCTCACAGCAACCTCACACTCCTGGGTTCAAATGATCCTCCCACTTCAGCCTCCCAAGTATCTAGGACTACAGGCATGTGTCACCATGCCCGGCTAAGTTTTCTATCTTTTGTAGAGATGGGGTCTCGGGGTCTCAGAGTCTCACTCTTGGTCAGGCTGGTCTAGAACTCCTAACTTCAAGTGATCCTAATACCTTGGCCTCCCGGAGAGCTGGGATTACAGGCGTGAGCCACAGCGCCCAGCCGGTACAGAGCTAAGCACACAGCAGGTATCTAAAAATTGCTGTCAAGACTCCACACCTGTGGCTCAAGTGGCTAAGGCGTCAGCCACATACACCTAAGGTGGTGGGTTTGAATCCAGCCGGGCCTACCAAACAACAATGACGGCTGCAACCAAACAAAATAGCCGGGCATTGTGGCGGGCACCTGTGGTCCCAGCTACTTGGGAGGCGGAGGCAGGAGACTCACTTGAGCCCAGGAATTGGAGGTTGCTGTGAGTTGTGATGCCACGGCACTCTACCCAGGGTGACAGCTTGAGGCTCTGTCTCAAAAATAAATAAATAAATAAAAAATAAAACTTGCTGTCAAATTACGGGTCTGCCCACCTTTCCTCTGGGCCTCATCCCTGTTGGATGACCTGTTTTTGCTCCATGTTCCCTACCCCACGGCCTAATTCGTCTGCACACACTGCCTGCTCAGAGAAGCAACCACCTGGGGCGCTCTAGGCCCCCAGGCCTGGGATGTCTTTCTCCATCTCTTTACCTCCTTGCAGAGTGAAACCCTTCAGTGTTTTTACTCTATACTGGGCAAAATGCCCTTGGAAGAAAGAGCATTCTGGGAGGATTACATGGCCTCTCTCAAGCCCAAATATGGCACAGGGTTTGGAGGAAAATTCTGTTTCCTCTCATTTTCAACAGTGAAACATAATCTCTCACCCACTCTTGCCACCCCTCTAGGGAGCTAAAAACCCTTCTTGCCTGGACAATCTCCTCAAAGTGATGGATTTGGAAACCTCCCTGCCATCTGTTCCTGATTCTGCAGGGGCCGCTTGGCTGTGTAAGGCACTGGGCTTGCCTCCGTCCTACCCTCCTTCCGCCCCATCTCCTGGCAGGCTGACTGCTCAGAGGCCACACTCTGCAGGCAGCTCAAGGGCAGCCCCAGGGAGCGGCATCCATACCTGCAAGTCTGGAGGGAGCGCTGGTCTGTGAGGATGTCTGAGCCGGACGGAAAACACAAAGTAGGAGTCGGATCCGCTCAGCTGGACTGAGACCTGCTGGGAGGGGTTGGAGAGAAGGAGGCAGGGGGGCAGAGGGCGAAAGACAGAGGCCAGGAGGTGGGCACCAAGGAGGGATGAGTCACCCCTCAGTGTGCCCAAAGCTCAGGCCCAACAGCAGATGCCAGAAGCCTCTACCTTCCCTCATCCTAAATCTTTTTTTTTCTTTTTCTTTTTTTTTTTTTTTGAGACAAGCTGTCACTCTGAGTAGAGTGCTGTAGCATCACAGCTCACAGCAATCTCAAACTCTTGGGCTTAAGCGATTCTCTTGCTTCAGCCTCCCTAGTAGCTGGGACTACAGGCACCTGCCACAACACCTGGCTATTTTTTTCTTTACTGGTTGTAATTGTCATTGTTGTTTGGCAGGCCCTGGGCTGGATTCAAATCTACCAGCTCTGGTGTATGTGGCTGGCGCCCTAGCCGCTGAGCTACAGGCACCAAGCCCCGACCCTAAATCTTACTCAGGCTTCACTGATGGGAATGACACTTGGGAAGGGGTCCCAGACAGGGGGCTGGGAAAACTACTCTGGACCCCCACATCTCTGCTCTAGTGTCTGTTTACACCCCCACATCCCCACTGCCTAGCTAACCCCAAGTGTGAACCAGACACTGTGCTACCAGCTTTATGATTATCACTCATTTTACCCCTGACACTGCCCTTCTTGGTTGGTCTTATTATCCCCATTTCCTAGCTGGCAAAACTGAGGATCAGTGGGGTTGAGTAATTCACCTGAGGACACAGAGCTAGTTGCCAGGGGAACTGAGAATTACATAAAGCTTAAATAAAACTAAGAGCCTTTTAAACTGAAAGCTCCTTGGCAACTGGAACAGAAATAGAGTCACTTGTACATCCTCAGTACCTAGCACAGAGCCTGGCACACAGCAGAGACACAGTCCATAGACAGTGAATGAGTGAACAAGCCAATACACCTATAGCAGCTGCTATGTGTTCACCCAACTAAGTGTCCCTTTCCTCCTGGATATCCAGCTAAAACTACGTGTCCCAGACTCTCTTGCTGCAAGGTGGGGTCGCGAGAGGAGAATGTGGATAGGAATGACTTATGCTGCTCAGGGTCCCAGAAAAAGCTCTTGCATAATTCACTGCCCTTTCTCTCCCCCATTCGCCAGCTGGGGTAGAGACACAGGTGGGGAAGCCTGGATCCCAAGTGACTGTGTGGAGTACAGCCACCCTGAACAGAGACATGAACTTTCACAGTAAAGCAAACATTTGTTTCTGACAATAGCTCTGCCTGATGAATCACGTGCATGCTGCTACAATAGGAGCTGTGGTGTTGGCTTTCTGGGGCCACCTCGCCACCTCCTCAGCCATACCATATAGGGACCCTTCACTCTAACATTAAAACCTTTCCTCCCTCAGCAAGGGAGCAGAATTCGGCCTCCTGACCTGGGATGCGACGTCATGCTTGATGGCAGCTTGTGCGTCTAGGCTGAAGTTGAATACTCCCTGGGGACTCCACTTAACGATGACACCCCCATCCAAGCTCAGGGCCTGAGGGAACCTCAGCTGGGAAGAAACAGACAGCACCCTTTACTCCTGCTAACAGTAAAGCTCTGCTTGGAGGATACAAACCAGTGTTTGCCCAAGCTGGGGACCGTACCTGGGAGGAATGAGCCATATCCAGGGCCAGGCTGTGCCAGATTTCTCCGTGCTGAGATCTGTCACGATGCAAGCCCTTTAAGTGCAGCATGACTTTCTGGTTGACCTTCAAAGTGGCCTCAACCTCCTTGTTCTTAGCCTGGGTGTGTGAGAACCAGAGGCGCTGAGAGAAGTCACCTCCCATCTCTGGGTGCCTGAGAAGCCACCCTTGGAACCCAGTAGTCATGAGAAAATGCTCCCAAGATTGATGGGGCAAAGCACAGTCTACACCCTTTTTTTTTTACTTACTCAGCAGAAAGTAGGGACAGGTGCAAGTGGGATCTTTCAGACAGGGGTGGTGAACCCCAGTGCCCACAGGTAGGGTTAGCAGGGTGGGCCTGAGGGGCGAATATGAGAACCAGGGTCTCATCCAGAGAGGTGCTCTGGCAGCAGTCTGTTTTTTTCACTGTTCCGCCCCTAACCTTCAGCATGAGTCCTGGCACATAGTAGGTGCTCAGTAAGTATTTGGAAGAATGCAAAACCACGAGTCATAGCCTGGAGCCCCAAGGTAAATGCTATGCTAGAGTAAAAGGCTGTGCAACTCACGGTGTAGCCGGCAGACTAACACTCCTCCCCAATGACGTCCATGTCCTGGTCCCTGAAATTTGTGAATATGTGACCTTACATGGCAAAGAGAATTTGCTAATTGGGTTGAGAATCTGTTAGGGAGTTTTCTTCTTTTCTATTATTTTTTTCTTTTTTGAGACAGGGTCTCACTCTGTCACCCAGCCTGGAATGCAGCTGTGCAATCATAGCTCACTGGAGCCTCAAACTCCTGGGCTCAAGGGATTCCTCCTGCCTCAGCTTCCCGAGGAGCTGGGACTACAAGGTGCCACCACACACAGCTAATTTTTCTGTTTTTGTAGAGACAGGGTCTCCCTTTATTGCACAGGCTCAAGCAATCCTCCTACCTCGACCCTCCAAAGTGCCAGGATTATAGGTGTGAGCCACCTCTCCTGGCCGTGAGTTAAGGATTTTGACATGGGGACAGGAGTCTAGGTTATTCAGGCAGCTGCAATGTAATCCCACTGGTGCTTGTGAGAAGGAAGCCGGAGGATCAGACTCAGATATGGGAAGATGCTACTCCCCTGGCTTCGGAGACAAAGAAAGGAGGCATGAGCCAAGGGATGCGGGTGGCATCTGGAAGCTGGAAAATTCAGGAAAAGACTCTCCCTGGAGCTTCTGGAAGAGATATAACCTTGTTAACTCCCTGGTTTTAGCCAACTGAGACCCATTTTGGACTTCCAATCTCCAGAATTATAAAATGTATGTAAATTTGTTGTTTTAAGCTGCACTTGATCGTGGCAGCAATAGGAAACTACACGTCATCCTTTATTTATTCACTCAACAACTACTTAGCTTCTGCCACATGCCGAGTTGCCATCTTTTCTATCTGCACTGAGAGAGAAGTTAAAAATGCCTCACCAGAGAATTTTATCACTGGGGTGCATCTTCAGAGAAATGCATGGCGTTATTTTAGAATGAAGACAGAGGAAGAAAAATAAGGGTCTAAGAGAGAAGGAAAATATGTGTCATTAAACAGACAAGGTTTTAGAGAGAGTAGACAACCAAATTAAGTTAAATTAAATTAAAGATCGCCAGGGACGATTTCTAGCCTGGTGTTTATTGTCAGTGGGATTTGGGGCCCAGTTTAATCAAATCTTCTGATTTTTTCTTATGAACAGCAGGAATCTGGGGTCTAACCAAAATGTTCTGATTTCCGATGGATATTTTTAAATGTAAATGCTAAGCAGACCAAACAAAACACACCTGCAGGTTGGATTTGGCCCCTGCGCCAATCTGCAACCTCTGGTTTAAGAAACAGCAGACAACCCTGGGAGACGTTTCTGCAGGTGTCCTAGGCTGTCACCCACCCCCTTCCCCTCAGCTCTGAGAACTTCACTACCTCACCTCTGGGGAGCCATTTGTGATTCTGAGATTTTTTTTTTCAAAGACAGGGTCTCACTCTGTAGCCCAGGTTGGAATGTACTGGCATGATCACAGTTGACTGTAATTTGAACTCTTGGGTCCAAGCAATCCCCCCTGCCTCAGTCTCCAGAGTAGCTGGGACTCGAGGCACATGCCATCATGCTCAGCTAACATTTTATTTGTTGTAGCAGAAAGGTCTTGCTTTATTGCCCAGTCTGGTCTTGAACTCCTGGCCTCAAGCAATCCTCTTGCCTTGGCCTCCCAAGTGCTAGGATTACAGACATGAGCCATTCTGTCTGGCCACAGCTTCTTTTAACTAACAGGCCCCAGAAAGGTGAAGATTGGTGCTCAATGGCTGGCCCAGCTCCACCCTCCTTCCCATAAGCTGTTGTCCATCTCACAAGAGAGAAACAACCTCCATCTTCCTTGGAGGTCAGCATACAGTAGATGCTCAATAAATGCTTGTTGAAGAATGCAAGTCATCTCCCAGAATGCCTACTCCTCTCAGCGGAGTCAGGAGGAAGACTTGGATGAGGGTCTAGCAGACCTGCCTTCAGCAGTTGAGAGAGATTATAATGCTACACTTCAATTGTTACAGCCACTGCCTACGAGGTGACTGCAGTGCCTCCACTTTTATAGACAAGGAAACTGAGGTATAGAGACATGAAATAATTTGCTAAGGACACATGGGCAAAACCAGATCTCACCCTCAGAAAGCAAAATGCCAGAATCTTCTAAGTCAGGGGTTCAACACGGTACAGCCCACATCTGGGTTGTTTTGATAAATAAGGTTCCATGGACACACTCCTGCCCATTCACTCAGGTAGCGTCTATGCCGCTTTCCCGCCGCAATAGCAGAGTTGAGTCATGGTGACATGGACTTTGTGGTCCACAGAGCCTGAAATAGCTCCTACCTGGTTCTTTACAGGAAAGGTTTACTGGCCTCTGCTCTGGGTCACAGCGTACACAGGGCTGTAAATAGCGTCAAGGTGGCAACTGTCCCTCAAGCGCTAATGTGACCAGCCCCTGTGGCTACTGTGGTTCCTAAAGTAGACATGGTACCAATTGTGAGTTTTCCACACTAGCAGAGGAAGCAGAACAATCACTCAAAAGCAGAACTGGGTTTGTGACACGTACTAGGAGCAAAAGGTACAGGGTACTGGCAGGGAGTGAATGGCTGCTCGGGAGGTGGCCTGGGGTCAGGAGAAATGATGCTTGAGCTCAACCCTAAAAGATGAGTAGAAGGAGAGGAGGCAGTGCTGCTGGCAGGGGTGACAGCTCCAGAGGGAACCTCAGCTGGGAAGAAACAGACAGCACCCTTTACTCCTGAGTGAGAGTTCACCAAACAGGAAAGAGAAGAAAAGGCTTCCCAGGGGAGGAAGTGGGCTATGCTAAGGCCTAGGTCTCCCTCCCCTGCCTCACTGCAGGTTTCCACAGTGATGGCCTGGGGCTGTCAAAGGACCAGTGCAAAGGTCCTGGGGCAGGTGAGGGATGAAAAGAGACAAGATGAGTGAATACAGGCAGCAAAAGGGGGCTGGAGGGTCAGGACTGGGGTCTTTATCCCAAGAGAAGCTCTGAGGGTTCTTAAGCAAGGGAGCAAAAGGATTATGTTGGCATTTAGAAAGATTCCTTTGGCTGTTAAACAAATTATAGTAGGGGGACTTTGCAGAACCGAGAACCCCGGCAGGAGAATGTTTCCTTTTTCTGTTAAAGATGATGGCAACTTGCCCTGGGTGCTGTGGTGGAAAGGTCTCCAGGGTCTTCTCACTTACAGTGTGCTGATTCCAAGTGACCAGGCACCCCTCCAAGCTCCTGGGGATGGCCTTATTCTGGTAAGGGTGTGTCAGACCTGCACAGACCTGGAGGGACAACGCATGCGCACACACGCAGGAAGGTCAGGAGGCAGCTGGGGGCCCTCTCCCCGGATCTCCCCCATATCCTGCTGTGCCCCAGAGCCCACTCACATAGGGGTGTCCAGCCTGGCGGCCCAAGACCATAGTCTGCAGGGTCTCCTCTCGGCCGTTCAGGACAACCCTCGTCTCCAGGGAGTAACGCTGGTGTTGCCTGTTGGCTGTGAAGGTCTCCTGCAGCAGGAGGCTCTGTGGGATGGGCAGGGGCAGGGGGTGCCTGGCGTGGGGGAAGGAGAAGAGGCTGGAGCCATTAAAGCAGGTGGCAGGGTCAGAGACCCAAGGGACAGACAGCACTAAGGTCTGGAGTCACATCGACTGGGACAGGAACTCAGGCTTGATCTTCCACTGGCCGTGTGACTTTGGGCAAAAGACTTCTCTGCACCTTGGTTTTCCCAGTCATGCAGTGGGGGCTAAAGTAATAATAATACGCTGGGAGCATCAGAGATGCCATCCGTGTACTGAACGCAAGCTTCCCCAGGGCAAGGGTTTCTGCCTTTGTGTTATCTGCCATTTTCCATGTGCCCTAAAGAGCACTTGACACATAGTAGGTGCTCAATAAATATTAATGAACTAAACAAATGAATGGAACCTCTGTAAATGACGACTGTTGTTACTGTTCTGTTATTGTTTTGGCCATTGGTGACTTGTCCAGGGTCACACAGCTGGTCAATGCATAGCCTGGACCCAGGATAGTCTGCTGCCCCCAACCTCATGCTGTTCCCTGTACATAGGGAACAACCTTTTTAACTGGGGATGTCTGGAGGAAGTGAAATGACTTCCAAGCACAGATTTTAGGGTGGGGCTAGAGATGTGGGGGCTTTTATGGTGGGTGGTGGTTTTTTCCCAGGCCCTGGCCTGGCAGCTCTGTACACCTGGGGGGTCTGTGACCCATGCTAGGGAAGTAGAACCTTGGGCAGCCACAAACCTCAGGAGTTTCATCTGGGGAAGGGTGCACGCGCCTAAGGAACAGGGTCCCCCGCTTCTGGTACAACATCCTTCCTCGCTTCTGCTCCTCCAGCTTGCCCTCCAGCTGCAGACCCTGAGGCTGGCCCCGTGCACAGGTCCTCAGAGCTGTGAGCAACAGGTGGGTCTTCTGGGGCTGCAACGAGGACCAGGCTGAAGGGAGGGATAGGCCAGAGGGACCATGCAGCTGACCATCCTGCCTTGCAGGGGGACAAGGGGCCGCCTTGTGCTGCCTGCCTGTTTCCCCTGGAGTAACTACCCAAGAACAGCTGAGCTGGGCTGCAGCCCTCACCTTGACCAACCTGTAAAATCCCACTGGTACAAGGCCATGCTGGACCTTCTTAGGTACCTTATGGGGAATAAAGAACTTGGGCTTCTCAGCTCAAAGATGCCAAGCTTTGCTCCAGAGTCTGTGCTAATGGGCCTGGGGTCCACTTCACCCATCAAGAAACTGAGGCTCAGGGAGGCTCTAGGTCACAGGCCAAACTGGTGGCAGGGAGGGAGGACCTAGGGAGTTTCGGCTGTACAGGCCATGGCCCTTACCCACTCCACATGCCTGTAGGCCGCTGTTAGGTTCAGCTCCTGCTGGGGGCCCTTCCACCAGCAGTGAAGGATCTTCCGGTGCCAGCTGCTCTCGGCACGGACCTTCCCCTGTACTGTTGCACTCCAGGGCAACTCGAGTTCACTCCGGCCGTGGAAGAGGCCCTGTGCCAAGGCCATCACTGTGGAAACCTGCAGTGAGGCAGGGGAGGGAAACCAAGGCCTTTGCACAGCCCACTTCCTCCCCTGGGAAGCCTTTTCTTCTCTTTCCTGTTTGGAGAACTCTCACTCATCCTTCAAACCCTCTGCCAGGCCTATCCTGACTGGCTTTGGCAGGCTGGTTATTACCCAGAGGGCCTTGAGACGAGAGGAAAAGCTCCTCTCGGTGGTCCCAGCCCGCAAGCACACACGACTTCCTCGCCCCTCTCCTCTCCAGTTTGGGAGGGAATCCCTGATGGGATCTGTGACTAGGGACTCAGGAGGGTGTCTGTACCCTGAGGGCACAGGCTGGCAGGCGGCCTTCCCTCCTTTCACCACTGTCATGGTCTTCAGAGACTGGGAAGGGCTGGGCGTGGTCAGGTGTACATTGGGGTAGGAGAGATGGAGCACTTAGGCCCACCGCTCCAGCCAGGCTCCCCGTGGTGCCCTGGCCCTGCTGGTGCTGTCCCTTGCTCACAGCGCTCTCACAGGGGCCACACATGGAGAGGTGATGAGACCAAGATGGGATGTGGCGTTGCTGAGCCTCTGGCCAAATACCAGAGCCCCATTACACCTTGTCCTGAGTCACCAACTCTTGAATCTTCCCAGAAGATCTCCCCCACCCCCCACCGCCAGCTTCCCCATTTCAGCGGCTGGCTCTTCTTTCCACCCAGATGCCTGGGACAAAACCTCAGTGTCATTTGTCTTCTTTCTTTTGCACCCAGACACTTGCTGCCACCTCTGCTGTCATGGTGCCATCCCCTCTAGTTGGGCCCTGCTGCCCTCCACTCTAGTTGGGTCAATGGCAGGGGCTAGTTGGCCAACAACTGCACCTCATACTCCTATCCTGGCTCGACCTGCTTCCAGAGCCTCCCTGGGGTCCCTAAGATCGCCAGAACACTCCCGGAGCCTCAGCATCAGAGGGGACGTCCAGTCCCAGGCAGCCACGGTCAGGGCCAGACCTCGCCTCTGGGTCCTCCTGCTTCCCAACAGCAGGGCAGGGTTTGTGTGCTAAGTGCCCTTGGCCATGCCCTTGGGGACAGCTCTTCCCCATCAATACACCGAACACAAGTGGAGACACACACTTCAATCAGCAGATGCTAAAACCTACCCACCGCCCAGAGGCTTTCATACTGGTTTTCAGCAAAAGCCTAATGTCTACTTGTTGCCAAAGTCTCATTCAACCTGCTTTCCTGCTTTATTTCACTCCCCATCAGCTACTAAGTGGGAATATGGGAAATCCAGGTTTTTGTTTTAGGTCCTCTCTCCCCAGAGTCACTTGGCAGCTAACTCTGATGGTTATAAACACCAGGTGGGCCAAACTTCACACACATGTGACCAGGGGCCTCAGGTTTTCCCCTATGCATGGGAAGAAGATGTCAGCGTCAGAGAAACTGCCCCTGCCCCACCTGCTAAGTGGGGAGGGCGCAGGGCTCCTGGCTGAGCGCTGCTCACCCGTAGGTAGGTGGTAGTGGGCGTGTAGACCTGGATCTTGCCTTCCCTGTTGTGGCCCTGACTCTTGCAGGTCACGCTGACCACCAGGCCCTTGAGGGTCCAGGCTTTGCCCAGTGTCAGCTCCAGGACAGCTTGGAATGTGGCTCTGTGTGGCCAGTACAGCCTGTGAGCTGCAGAGACCACCAGCCATGGACTATTCAGGTTCATGGCACCTGCAAAGGGACAGAGAAGGAGAATCAGGTACGTGGGGCAGGAAGGAAACTTCCAGAGGGAGCAAGAGGTCCAGTCTCATCACAGCCACCATCGACATATCTCAAAACTGGGACTGACTGGGCATGAGGGAACTTTCTAGAATGATGGTAATACTGTGAATCTTGACAGGGGCTCAAATGACACAGCTGCATGCACATGTCAAAATTCATCCAAGGGTACCCTGGAGATTTGTGCATTTCACTCCAATTAATGAAATGTGACCTGAAGTGTTTATGGGTGAAATATACAATGTACGACTTACTTGGATCACACCAAAAACTAAGAAGCATGGATAGGCGGATACATGGGATAAAGCATGTAGGGTAAAATGTGAATAGCAGAATCTAGAACAGGGTATGGTGTTCACTGTACAATTCTTCTTACTTTTCTGTATGTCTGAGATTTTTTCATAGTAAGATACTGACAAAAAAATACTGGGAAGAACTGGAAAGTGGGCCCTGGAGTGTGATGACACAGGGCACGACCTTTCCTCTCCTAGGTCACTCAAGCTCTTTGAGCCTATGCTTCGTCATGAGTAAAATGGGTATAAACTACTAGTCACTGGGCACTAAGACAAAGTAAGCACTTTTGTTAAAGAGTAAATAACACCACCACCATCATCACCAGAACGCTGACATTCAATACAGCCTTGAACTCTCCCATGATTAACTAAACTAGCTCACAGAATCCCTCTCCTCTTTTGTAATGAATAACTCAATTCATCCAAAGATTAATTCAATAGACATTGTCAAGACGAGTGTTTTTGTAGCAAACAAGCAAGAACAGTCACTGACTTTGTGGGACTTGTCCTCTGGGGGACAGGAGGGAGGGGAGGGACAGATCTCAAACAGATGAACCCATAAAGAGAACCCAGGTAGAAATGCTAAACTCTATGGAGAAAAGGAGGCGGCAAGTTAGCTGAGACCTAAATTAAAGATGAGGGGAGGACACCCTCCACCCCTGCTGGGGATGGGAGGTTTACTGTCTGGGGAAACTGAGTCAGAGAGTCTCAGCTATAGGAACACCAGGCACAGGTAGGGTAGAAATGAGACGCCAAGGTGAGAGCAGGGAGATGCCAAATGGTGGGCAGCCTGGTCCCCTGCCTGGTTGCTACCTCCTCCACCACACACACAGGAAATGGGGTAAGACTATTCCACAGAAGGACAGAATGAAGGAAAAGAAAAATCCACATATATGGATCCCAGGGGCCCCCAAGACAGAAATCAATACACCTCCATGTAGCCTCTCTCTGGAAGCTACTGGAAGATGTGCCCCATTAGAGTAAAGGAATAAATCAAGAAGAGGGGCACAGGTGCAAGGATCAGGGGCTGTGACCCAGAGCAGGCGTGAAAGGAATGCCAGGATGATGGTGAGGGGACGCCACAGGACCACAGCTGCACTAGTCTACTTTGGAGCAGAGGCTCCAGGACGAAGGTATACGCGAAAAATATCAGAACTAATGGAAGCTGATAAACAATCTGATATGTCTGATCATTTGGAGAAGAGGTTTTCAACGTCACCGAACATTCTGGGAATAATTGGTAGGAGAAAAATAGAAAGCTAATTCAACAGGGGGGAAAAAAGACAATTATAACTTCCGGGAAAACAACAAGTTACAATCTTAGCATACTACGTGGCTCAGCTATGATAGACATATATGGAGTCATAATTATGTAAATGTTGAATGTTAACAAAATATAATTCTTTTAAAAGGATGAAGGGGAATTAATATTTGAAAAGGACAAGAGTAAGAATAAAATTTTCATCCTTTCCAGTCAGAAATCTGTGGCGTACACCTAAAAGAGAAAAATAAAGAAATAAAAATATGATTATATTATTTTAAAAGATTAGAAGATAGAGCAGAAGAAACAGCTAAAAGAAAGATATATTGAAGTCAGGGGTTGAAGTTGCTGTTTTGTTTTTTTGTTGTTGTTGTTGAGATAGAGTCTTGCTCTGTTCCCCAGGCTAGAGTATCATGGCATCAGCCTAGCTCATAGCAACCTCAGACTCCTGGGCTCAAGCAATCCTCCTGCCTCAGCCTCTCAAGCAGCTGGGACTACAAGCACCTGCCACAATATCTAGCTAAAATTTTCTGTTTTTAGGCTCGGTACTTATAGCTCAGTGTCTAGGGTGCCAGCCACATACACCAGAGCTGGCGGGTTCAAATCCAGTCTAGGCCTGCCAAACAACAATGACAACTACAACTAAATATAGCCAGGCATTGTGGCAGGTGACTGTAGTCCCAACTACATGGGAGGCTGAGGCAAGAGTTTAAGGTTCCTGTGAACTGTGCTACCATAGCACTCTACCCCGGGCGACTTAGTGAGATTCTGTCTCAAGAAAAAAAAATTAATTAATAAAATAAAATTTTCTATTTTTAGTAGAGATGGGGTTTCTTTCTTGCTCAGAACTCCTGACTTGAAGCTATCTTCCCACCTCAGCCTCCCAGAGTGCTGGGATCAAAGGCATGAGCCGCTGTGCCCAACCTAGAGGTTGCTATTTTGAGCAAGACTTGGGGTAGGTAGATGTGAAGCAGAAGATTGATTCTTATTTTAAACTTTAACTTTTAAAAACATTTCAAGTATATACAAAAGCAGAGAGCATAATATGATAGGTTCCCATGTAACCACTAACCCAGCTTCAACATTGCCAATTCATACTCTAACGCCCTTTTTTTTTTTTTTTTTTTTTGAGACAGAGCCTTACTTTGTTGCCCTCTGTACGATGCCATGGTGTCAGAGCTCACAGCAACCTCAAACTCTTGGGCTCACGTGATCCTCTTGTCTCAGCCTTCCTAGTACCTGGGACTATAGACACCTACCACAAAGCCCAGTTATCTTTTAGAGATGGGGTCTTGCTGTAATTTAGGCTGCTTTCAAACTCCTGAGCTCAAGCAATCCACCCACCTTGGCCTCCTAGAATGCTAGGATTACAGGTGTGAGGCACCATGCCCAGCCTACTAATTCACTTTTTTTTTTTTTTTTTGTGTGGGGCTGGGTTTGAACCTGCCACCTCTGGCATACGGGGCCAGCCCTACCCTTTTGAGCCACAGGTGCTGCCTCTAATTCACTTTTTCAAAGAGGCAGAGTCTCACTCTGCCACCCAGTCTGGAGTTCAGTAGCTATTTACAGATACGATCATAACTCACCCCAGCCTGAAACTCCTAGGTTCAAGTAATCCTCCCACCTCAGCCTTCCAAGTAGCTGGGTCTACAGGTTCATGCCAATACGTCCAGTTAATTTCTAAGATTTCTTTTAGAGATGGGGATCTCGCTATATTGCCCAGGTTGTCTGAAATTCATTGCCTCAAGCAACTTCCAGTCTCAGCCTCCTTCATAGCTGGGATTATAGGTGTCAGCTACCTCACTCAGCTCATTTACTTTTTAAACGAGTATTTTAATAAAAATAAAAAATCAATTGAAAAAAGTAATTCAAGGATCAACTATGGTAAATCCATTTTTTAAAGTGAGAGACTCTTTTCCAGTAAGAAAGTAAAGTAAGTGCAAAGGCCCTGGGGAACAGAAAGGGGCTACAGAATAATGAGGAGAAAAAGAAGCATCAGGGGCTTGATGATGCAGAGCTTGATTGCCAAGGGTTACAAATTAGGAGGAAAGTATGAGGGCCATGGGACATGTTAAAGCTTTAGCCCAGCAAACGAAAGGAAAAGGTGTTCTAGGTAGTGGGGATGTTACAGAAAATGCCTGGAGGCTGGACATCTGGGCCGCTAACCAGGGAGGCTCCCCAGCCTGTACTCACCTTCCCACTTCCACAGGGTGGCCCTCGACGTGTCCTTCCACTGCCCGCCTGCCACAAAGAGCAGCCGCCCGTTGTGCTGCACCTTGAGGTGTGTGCTGCTCTCCACGTGCGGCTGGCAGAGGCTTGAGTGGTACAGCTGTGCACGGCCATCCACCTGCCTCTCAGGCACCTGCAGCACAAACTGGAGAAGCCCCCGCCCCGCCCCCAGATGCCAATCAGATTGTGCCACTCCCAGCCTAGGATGCTCCACTGGCTCTCCATCCCGGGGGGGGGGAGCTCCCTGGATCTCAGGATCCGCCCCAGCCCACCACTCTGGCACAGGTCTTGGGATTCCACCCCCTTGTTCTTTACACTGTAATCGTATACATGAGAAAGAAGAAGGAAAAAGAAAAGCTTGGACTGAGAAAGTAAAAATCTGCCCAGGCATCCATTAGACTAGAACAACAGACACAGATAAAAAGCCAGTTGCAAAATTAATGCCACAGCTATACAGTATGTTGACAAGGGGTGGAATGGCTGGGTCTTACGGTAAACTGTGTTTGTTCTGAGATAGAGTCTCACTATATCGTCCTTGGTAGAGTACCGTGGAGTCACAGCCCACAGCAACCTCAAACTCTTGGACTTAAGTGATTCTCTTTCCTCAGCCTCCCACGGAGCTGGGACTACAGGCACCTGCCACAATGCCCGGCTATTTTTTGTTTGTAGTTGTCATTATTGTTCAGCAGGTGCAGGCTTGGTTCCAACCCACCAGCCCGAGTGTATGTGGCTGGCGCCCTATCCACTGAGCTACAGGCATTGAGCCTGGTAGCTCTACGTTTAACATTGTGAGGAACTGCAAAAAGTTGCGCCATTTTATAATCCCACCAAAAATGTGTGAAGGTTCCAATTTCCCCACGTTCTCACCAATACTGCCTGTCTTTTCTGTTTTAGTCACATTACTGGGGGTGAAGTGGCTCCTCACTGTGGTTTTGGTCTGAATCTCCCTAACGGGTAGTTGAGCGTATTCTCGTGTGCTTATTGGTTATTTGTATATCTCTTCAAGAAATGTCTATTCAAATCTTTTGCACATTTTAAAATTTGTTATTTGCCTTTTTATGCTGGAATTGTAAGAATTCCTTCAATGTCCTGGACACCAACCCTTCTCAGATGCGTGACTGCCAGACGTTCACATCTGTCCTGTGGGTTGTCATTTCACTTTCTTGATTGTGTCCTCCAAACCACAAAAGTTTTCAGATGTGATGAAGTCCCATTGATTTTTGTTGTTATCATGTATACTTTGGGTATGATATCTCAGAAACCCTTACCTGATTCAAGGTCATGAAAATCTACATTTTATTCTAGGAGTTTTATAGTGTTCATCCTTAAATTTAGTTCCATGATTCATTTTGAGTCCGTTTTTGTATTTAAGGTAAAATAGGAGAGTCCATTTTCATTCTTTTGTATGTGGCTATGAGGTTGTCTCAGTTGGACACCCAGTTTAACCGATGGTTAAAAACACCCTTCCTTCCCTCCCTTAATTCCAAGGGCTGTCCAGAAAGTATCCAGCCACTGGTTGGATACTTTCTGGACAGCCCTCATACATTGGCACCCTTGTCAAAAATCAATTAAATTTTTTTTTTTTTTTTTTTTTTTGCAGTTTTTGGCCGGGGCTTGGTTTGGATCCACCACCTCCGGCATATGGAGCCGACACCCTTCTCCTTTGAGCCACAGGTGCCACCCCAATTAAGTTATTACAAGCACTGTCATATATCACTTCATGACGGGGATCCATTCTGAGAAAGGTGTCACTAGGCCACTTCACTGTTGTGTGAGCGTCAGTCAGTGTACTTATGCAAACTAAATGGTCTGGCCAGCTACACACCTAGGCTATATGACACAGGCTTTGTCCCTAGGCTACAATCCCGCACAGCACATTACTGTACTGAATGCTGTAGGCAGCCGTTACCACAGTGCTCAGTATTTGTGTACCTAACATACCTAAACAGAGAAAATATACAGGGAGAATACGGTATTATAATTTTAAGGGACTACTGAAGTATATGTGGTCAGTTGTTGACCAAAATGTCATTATGTGGTGTGTGACTGACTGTATGAGGGTTTATTCTTGAACTCTCCATTCTACTCCCTCGGTCTACATAACTATCTCCATGTTAGTATCAGACTGTTTTGATTACTGTAACTTTATAGTAAGTTTTGAAATTGGGAAGTATGCATCTCTAACTATGATTTTTTAAAGACCATTTTGGCTATTCTGGGTCCCTTGCAATTTCACATGAATTTTAGGATCAGTTCATCAATTTCTGCAAAAAAGGCAGCTGGAATTTTAACAGAGACTGACAGGGATTGTTGAAACTGCAGATCAATTTGGGAAGCATTGTCATTTTAACAAGTCTTTCGATCTAAACAGATTGGATACCTTCCCATTTATTTAGGTTTTTAATTTCTTTCTTTTTTTTTTTACAGTTTTTGTCCAGGGCTAGGTCTGAACCCACCACCTCTGATATGTGGGGCCGGTGCCCTACTCCTTGGAGCCACAGGCGCCACCCCAGGTTTTTAATTTCTTTCAATAACGTTTTATAGTTTTCAGAGTATTAGCGGTGTATGTCCCTTGTTAAATTTATTCCTCAGTGTTTATTATTTTTTGATGCTGTTGGGAATATACCTGTTTTCTTAATTTCATTTTCAGGTTGTTTGTTACTAGTGTATAGAAACCCATCTGATTTCTGTGCATTTTCTTGCAACTTTGCTAAACTTGTTTATTAGCTCTAATAGGTACTTTCTGTTTCTTTAGAGTTTGCTGTATGCAAGATCATATTTTTTCCTCTTAATAAATCATAACCGTGTACATTAATGGAGTACAATGTGCTGATTTGCAAGATCATATTATCTGCAAAAAGTTTTACTTCCTCCTTTCCAACCTAGATGCCTTTGATCTATTTTTCTTGCTGAATTTCTCTGGCTAGAACCTCCACTAAGACATTGAACAGAAATAGTGACAGCAGGCATACAGTCTCGTTCCTGATCTTAGGAGAAAACGCTTAGCCTCTCTTAACCATTAAATATGATGTAACTGTGGTTTTTCATAGATTCCCTTTATTAAACTGAGAAAGTGACCTTCCATTACTAGCTTGTTGAGTATTTCATTTTTAATTATGAAAGGGCGCTGAATTTTGTCAAACGCTTTTCCTCTATGTATTGAGATGATCGTGTGGTTTTTGTCCTTTATCTGTTAACATAGTGTATTACATTGTTTGATGTTTCAGATGTTAAACCAACCTTACATTCCTAGGATAAAGCCCACTTGGTCGTGGGGTAGAATCCTTTCTATATGCTGCTAGATTCAATTTAACAGTATTTTCTTGGGCATTTCTGCATCCATGTTATAAGAAATAATGGTCTGTAGTATTTTCATGTTGTCTTTTTCCAATTTTGATACCACGATGAAACTGGAGTCATAGGATAAATTGGGACATGTTCTCTCCTCTTGACATATCTTTTAGTAAATATTTCATACTACCTTAATTCTAGCTCAGTTCAATCTAGCCAAGAGGTTAAGTGCCTACAGGGATATCAGTTCTGATTCTGCTACAAATTGCCTGTATGACCCTGGAGAAGTCCCTTTACCCAATTTCTTATCTGTAAAATGAGGATAGATAATGTATATCTCACAGAGATTAAATGATAATACAAGCAAAGAGTTTGACCCGTGGCCTGGCAATAAGTGGTTCATAATTGTTCACTTGCCCTTCCCGCACCTACTCACCATACACATCTCAAGGATAAAGATCATCTTATTTAAGTTTGTCCCCCAGAACCTAGCACAATCCCTGCCAAAGTTCAAGAGGTTGGCATAAATGCTTGATACTGGATCCCAATCTCTTCACTGAAACCCTTGAGGCCAGATGTGTCCATGAAATAAAAAATTTTTAAATGTTAGAATAGTAACATAATGCATACTCTATAATTATGTAAAGAACTCCTACCAATCAGCCGGGCATGGCAGCGGCTCATGCCTGTAATCCCAGCACTCTGGGAGGTCAAGGCAGGAGGATCCCTTTAGCTCAGAAGTTTGAGACCCTGAGCAAAAACAAGACCCGATCTCTACCAAAAATTGAAAAATTAGCCAGGCATTGTGGCAAATATCTGTAGTCCCAGCTACTTGGAAGGCTGGGCGGCAGGAGAATTGCTTGAACCAATGAGTTTGAGGTTGCTGTGAGCTAAGCTGAAGCCATGGCACACTAGCCTGGGAAAAAGTTTTTCTAGGGAAAAACTCCTAGAAATCAAAAAAAAAAAAAAAAAATCAAGTCACTTAGTATTTTCCCAATGGTAATCTTTCATAGAAAAGGTAATAAAAATGTAGAATCAGTGCACAAAGAGAATTGCTTGGTAATATCTTACTGAGAAATGCACAAACAACCAGATATCATTACTACTTGCATCAGTATTTTCTTTTTTCTTTTTTTTTTTTTTTTTGAGACAGAGCCTCAAGCTGTCCCCCTGGGTAGAGTGCCGTGGCATTACAGCTCACAGCAACCTCCAACTCCTGGGCTCCAGCGAGTCTCCTGCCTCTGCCTCCCAAGTAGCTGGGACCACAGGCGCCCGCCACAACGCCCGGCTATTTTTTGGTTGCAGCCGTCATTGTTGTTTGGCGGGTCCGGGCTGGGGATTCGAACCCACCACCTTAGGTGTACGTGGCTGGCGCCTTAGCCGGTTGAGCTATAGGCGCCGAGCCGCATCAGTATTTTCTAATGGTGGGAATCAATTATTGGTGAGAACCTGGAAACTGCTGTCTTGGACATGGCTAGGGGGCGAGAGATTGGTACCAATGTTTTTGGAGAAAAAATTGGCAAAAGCCAGAAAATTAAACATGCACAAACAATCAGATACCATTACCACCTGCATCAATATTTTCTAAAGGTAAGAATCAATTACTGGTGAAAACCTGGAAACTGCTGTCTTGGACATGGTTGGGGGGTGAGAGATTGGTACAAATGTTTTGGGAGGAAAAATTGGCAAAAGCTAGAAAATTAAACATGCACAAATTCTACAACCCGGAAATTCCACATGATGACTCCTGTCCCAGAGACCCTGTCAGACATGTGCTCCGGGAGGCATACTTAAGGATCTTCAGGCATACACTGTACATTCCACCAAGAGTGAAATGCCAAAACAAGACTCAGA